CTCCCTCAAAACATTCTCAAAAATGTATCAAGACTATGCAATAATGGCTTACTGAAGTGTTACCCTCCCTAGTTGAACCGTACCATGAACTCCTTCATTGAACAAGGTCATTATGCCTTGAATAAAAACTTCAACTACAATTGGAACAATGTTTGTGCTGTCAGTTGCAAGCTCTTACACTCTGGGTAGTTCAATTCAACAGTGAGTACTATGTGTCTCAATGAGTAGAGCTTGACTGAAAAAGATCTGTACAGAATTTGAAGAAATTGAACTATGGACTACACCTTGCACACCTGCAGCCCTTCAACTTATTTGTAGTGGGCTTTTTCCTTGCCCACCAGTATATCCAACACTGGCAGTAGATGTACAGGTTCTGGACTTAGAGCAATGTCTTTTCCTTCAGATTGCACCTAATTATACAGTGTGGTGTGCCACTGTCACAGATTTTCTTGGCTCACAAGGCTATTGCCTGCTTGAAGATGACTCACAGAGGCAGAGGTTCTCCAATGCCTTGCAATGATTCATTAGTCTGCATAACACCACTGGCACATAAGTAATATATTGAGTGACATTTGTTGCAGTCTCATTCCTGAATCTCACAGAGAGCCTAAGCCAAAAAGTCCCACACTTCACTGTGAAGGACATCGAGCATCCATCCATCACAGATGTTGAGGACAAAGAAAGTGCCCCTGTGCACAGTAAATGTGCAGTTTGTTTTGCGGATGAAGATGCAAACTCAAAGTAGAAGTGGGACAGTTTTGGCAATAATGACTCAAATGGTGCTCAACTATCTGCAGAGTCTCTTAAGAATGACCTGGTGCCACTGCTCCTTTGATCAAGTGGGTATCTTCATTCAAGGTGCCCACTTTGTTTCGGAGGATCAAATGTGTACATTTTTATCCTTCATGTAGCAGTATTAAATTGATTAATACACTATTTTAGGGAGGCCATTACTGTTTGTCTAGATGCATGCTTCACCCAGAAGCATAACACTCAAAAGGGTGGCTGCAATCTGCTTCACACTCACCCAGCCTCTTTTTTGTCCTGGAGGATGAGGTGGCAGCTTGGAAAGTCATGTTGACTTGGTCTGACCCTCAAAAGATGGTAACTGTCATCCTTTGAAATGAAAGAAGACTAGCAGATTTGTTGCTGATGTGGAGGATGATGATCATGTCGAAACTGGTCTTTGTGTACCAAAATCTGCACTCAACAGTTGCCTAGCTAGCTTTACAGCTGCTGACAAGGCCTGCGTGAAGGGTGGCATTCAGTTCTTTGATGTTACTGCCCAGATGGCCATCCTGTGTCAGCATGACTATCCTCTGTGGGTAGTAAACATGACTACTCCAGGAGAGGCCCAGCACTATACACTAACACTGCTTGCTAAACTTTTCAAACACCTTCCCCCCAATGTTCTTGTTCAGATCCTGTACAATATCACCTGTCAACTACACTGCAGTTGCATAAAGTGGAGCTTTCTCAAGCCTTATATGAGCTGGTCATACTTTGCTATATTCCATGTGTTTGGTCACCAATGGTTGTGTCAGGTTATTTATCATCCCCAAAAAGCCATAGGATTTGATCTCTCAGATGGAGTGGGCACCAAGAGACTGTGGCACTCAATCAGTCATTTAATTGCCTATGGTCAAGTCATGGGCATGAGTTTTACCTTTCTGGGTGTTATGTGCAATTAACCTTTTTAATCAGTCTTATGTTCATATGTACAATTTGAACAGTCTGCTCAATTTTGCCAATGAAGAGAGTTTATTCAAACTCGGAATGTGGTTATGTCAGAAAGTACTTGCCTGTGAGGCCAAGTCTAGTGAGGCCAAAAAGTGACTTGCGACTTGTGGGATTACAGAGGAAGTGTTATACCTGGAATGGCAGGTGCAGACTCAGGCTCAAATGACCCAACTCCCTTGTACACAATGTATTTTTTATCTTTTTCAAACTTGTGGTCGATTTAGTGAATGCAGGTCAAAGTAGAACTAAAGCTAAAGCTGTGGTAGAGGAATTACTTTGCCTCTGTAAAAGTCCAGAGATGCTCAGGGAGAAGGTAGCTCATCTGTGTGACCTTATTATTGAGTGCTCTGTACCAGACTGGGAGATTGCCACTCTTGAGCTTGAGTTACAATCTACAAAGGAGAGTATATTGAAAATGGAGAAGTGAGTTCAAAAGAAGGAAAGAACATTAGGAATTTCCTCAACATCCACCATATGACACTTAGCCAAAAGTGCATACCTTAATAAATAGATGAATGCTCTCACACTCCTGACCTGCATCTGAGAACATTTACATTCAAGGAAGTTCAAGCTGGACCATCTCAAATGTTTCTATTGAAAGCAATGTAGCGGTACATGCCTATGATAATTTTAATTTTTCATTTACTCAGTTGAGAACTCAAGACCAGTGCATCAAGGAGCATACTCAAGATTTGGTCAGAAGGCAAGAGCCTGGCATTGTCACATTAGCTCAAAAGTATAACTCATATTGTGTCAAAATGGGGCAGCTTATTGCTCAGGGAAAGGCACCTTGTAACACAATTGTACCAAAGAGCTTGACATGGATAATCTTTTTAGTCTAGATGTGGACAATGACATTTGGTTGGATATTGGACTTGGGTATGATGACATTGATGATGAGGTTCATCCCAGCCACTGGTTATCTGATGACAACATTCATCAAGGTATCTGCACATTACTTGAGAGAGATTGTTGTAATGAGGAGCGGCAGTATCTACTTGCAGAGTGCACTGTCATGCAGGAGTGGTTCTCAGAGGAGTGATTGATTCTGACATCTGCTTTGAGCACAAGTGGTGTGTGATTTATGAATTTGTTGGTTAGTGCAGACAATTGGCCTGAGATTTTTCTGGTTGCTTGCAGATTGTATGCTACACTACCAGTTTCAAATTTTCCAACATCTTCTATGCCTTCTTGTCACTTGGGGGTGGGCAATTGTTGTTCCTACAGCTGGCAATAAGCAATTGGAATGGGGGCCAGCAGATGAAAATATTATGTGAGCACAAAGTGAGGTAGCACTGGGAGGTGCAGTTGATCATTTGGATGACAACTTATACAATATTGAGTTTGAGGCTGAGGCTGATGAATTGCTTGTGGAACATCTAGATAGTCTTTGTATTGTGCAGAATTATTGAGAACTAAATAGTCTGGAGGTGTTATTGCACAAATTTTGCAGTGATACCTACAATCAATTAAAACTGACAATTTTATGATTGGAAATGAATACATAAGAGAGCTATAATAAGCCTGACATTGATAGCTAACTCAGAGTAAATGCAGGATGCTTGTTACGATGGGTGTGGAACTGTGTTACCTTGCTTTCTACCTTAGTACCAAGTATCAGTCCAAGTGTCAGACAGCTGCCGAAACTACTGTACCTAGCTCATCAAAGCTAGCAGACCCACCTGTACCTTATACAGAGGTTTTGATGAGCCTGCATTGCTTTGACGTACCCAGGGATCAATGGATGATTGGAATGGCTTGACAGAACTTACTCCAGTGGCTTGAGAAGTGATGGACTCAGTGCTGTGTTGTGTCAGATGCAGTATTCAAAGTGCTGAGAACAGGGAGAAGCTAACTGAAGTCTTGGCAAAGGTCCAGATTGAGGATCAGAAGAAGCATGTACAACCTGGTGCTACAGGCTAAAGCCAGCTTTGACATTCACCATACTAGGTACTTGTTGAAGTATTGGAAGTTGACAGCCCAAGTGGCAAAGAAGTGTGGCGGCACTTGGTGATTAAGATGATTGAATACCTATGGGAGCAAATATGGAGGAACATCCAGTACAGTTGGACACTTAGTCTGACATTATCATGGGTGCAGGATGAAGGATTATTCCAGTGTATGGGTTGATCAGGATGAAATGTGACAGTTACTCGGAGCTGCAGGACCAGGTTTCCAGAAGAAGGCATAGAAGGTTTATTTTCCTATGGACTTTGGGTTTATTGTTGGTTGGTTTCTGGATTTGGACACTCACACAAGTTTGTACCTGTATTTCTGACATTATGGTTGTACAGTTCTCAGCTCTTAGCATAGTATAAGTACAAGAGTAGAGTACCAGAACAAGCCAGTTTTTAGAGCCCCCACTAGTTTGGATGCTTAAAGCTGAGTCACACTTTGCCTGGTACTTTGGTCCACCATAGGACAGTATCATAGACTATCGAAAACTTGAGCAATGCTCTTGTTCATTTAGTACAGCTTGTCATTTGTCAGCCTGTTGCTGACCTTGCTGTTGTATCCCACTCATTGTTTGCTTGGCCCATTGCCAGCCTTGTGGTTATCAAGTCAGAGATTTGTATATCTTCCACAACCTTTGTGCCCCTCTACCTGGACCTAGTAGTCCATCAAGCCTAGAGATTTCTGTTAGACTGTACTAGTGGAGTCAAAGCTGATTATAAAAATATATTATCTACTCTGCAGAATCTTTGACAATGCACTCTCACAAACCCAGTTACACTTGCTGCCTCACTAGAGCTGGATAAGTAAAAACTTAACATATTAGTGTAATTTGACCTGTTTTGTTTCTAATATAACATTTGTATAACATTTTCATATAAACTTATCATCAATAATTGCCATGTCACCATTAAAAATATATGTAAAAAAAAAAAAAAACTTGTGAATATCCCTGTGGTGGAAAATGCAGACATTGAACAGGGACCTGCTGACAAAGACATTATACAAGTGCAAAGTGATTTGGCATTAGGTAGTGGCATAGAGTACTTGGACAATGACATATATGATGTAGAGTTTGAATCAGAGGCTGATGACCTACTCACTGAGCATTTAAATAGTTTGGAATTATAATTGTTGTTGTATTCTTGGAGAGCATAAACTGGCCAGTTAAGTTACTTAGACAATAACTCATGATTGTTCACAATGGATTGAACATATTGCAAGACCAACTTTGTTAACTGAACTTATTAGGCTTCAGCTGAACTATATTTAGTCTATGAAACTTGAATTGTACCACCCAATAATAAGGTACAATGGTCCAGCTGGTTAAGACATCCATCTCAATTATTCATTGATAATGATTGGTTATGGAAGATGAGGGTTCAAATCCCTCTTGTACCCATTAAATGAATTGAATGCAAATTTTTTTAATAGTGTCCATACTTCTGTTGTATTTATTACCTGTGCAGCCTTGGCCTCAACCTCATGGGCTGAGTGGGGTTGAACCTCAACTCCATGGGTTGAGTGAGGCTGCAACTTCAACCTCATGGGCTGAGTTGGGCTGCAGCCTTAGCTCAGTAGAATTATTGAGAGTGTCTACCCAGAAGTTGGTGTATTACATTTTATTAATGGTTTCTACATATGCCAATTGAAGATCATTTATATTAATGCCCTCTTTATTACACTCAGGAGCTTAGGTGACCAGTCAATGTAATGTCCCCTGGCCTGACTCCACTTAAGCAGTCTGTTTCTGCACCATAAGATGATTATCTAAGCACACTTTTTGAATGATAATGTAACCCATATACAATCTTCAGTAAACCCAAATTCTGATTTGAGTCATATAAACAAATGCCAACTCCAGTTGCTATAAGCTAAATGAGGTGATATTTTACCTTTTTATAACTTCCTAATATAGCCATTATAGAAGGCTTCATAATATGAGTTTATTTGGACTTTGAAGTGAGATCACATGATTATATACCCCTACTACCTCAGACACCTCAAAAATAACACTTGACTTCATGTTCATCAATTTTTTAAAAATATTTAACCATCAGTGGAAAACCCCCCTTAATGCCTTGTATATAAGCACAATGGTGCCCTCATTTTGCATATATATACAGCTGTAGTTGGGCCTTACAGGTGAAATGCTGGGTTCTGAGAAATCCCTGCAATTGAAAATGATGCCAATTCTCTCATACTCATTTAGAGATAAAGCACCTGCTCTTTGAGAGTTCTGGGTGCTCCAAGATGAACTGGAACATGAAATTTTAGAAAATGGAAATAGTTCCTCAATCAAAAGGTTGACAATTCAAATATTGCTGATCTATCAATCAAAGTTTTATAAATTTTATCCTGGTCCCCCTTGCAGTGGGCTCCAGTTGATGAGGTTGTTTGTGGTTAAGGGTGCAAGGGGTGCATTGTCAAAGGTTCTGCAATACCAGGACAATTCAGTCAACCTGATTGATCCTTTTGCCTGTCAAAACTTCAACTATTTGAAGAGGTAATGATCTGTATTTTTCAAATGTTCCAAGTTGTTCTACAATGAGGAGCTATTTGTCAACTTTTCAATGTCTCAACTAAAATATATGTTCAAAGGCTTTGGGCTTAAGGTAGCTTGATCAAAAATGCAGGAGCAGCTCAACTGCTAATCACAGCAGGTATACAACTACATTCCACACAAGAAAAATAATCAAACACTTCACACAGAGGCTGTTACAGTCCAAAGGTTACTTGTTTTGAACAGTAGACTAACAACTGTATTTATACTACTCAAAAATAATATCTACTGTTTGATGCAAACTCATTTCCAAATACTTTACTTTCAAATTCCAGCTTCTCTTATAGGAAAACATTTCAGAGCTTGTCCCTGATTCATTATCCAAAGGTGTCTAATAATTCATAGTAGGTAGTCTCTTCAGTTTTTAAGTCTAAATGACTCAAGTCAGATTTGTGTGATTCTGTGCAGATGGGTTGAGCAATAACCTGCTTCCATTTCTGCAGCACAGCCACCTCTACATTCATTCTAAGTATCTATCTTTATATCTCTTTCTAAGGAAGAAGTGTCCTTCAATTTAATATTCCAGTGCATTATCCATAAGTAATTGCTCACTGCAATTGAATGGTGTTCCTTAGATCAAAAGAATCTGCAACCTTAACTCATTCCAAGATTCAGTATCTCTAATTGGCTCATCTTTAATTAGGTTCTGCAAGGCCATAGCCATTTCATTCTTGGCATTAGAACCATTTGGGTTCCTTATCAGTCCAGGCTGCCAGCCACTTGTAATAGTATCAAATAATGGTAAACCTTTATGGTTGGAAGAATTGTATGTGGTTCCAATGATACACCTGCTTTTATAAGAGGCCATCACTATAATCAGGTGAGTCTGCTAGCATGGACAAATACTAGAGCAATGTCTCGCAAGCATTCTGTATTGAACAGTAATGGTATACCTTTCCACAAAATAGGTGCCCTTTTTTGAGTATCACCATTTTCATTAAAAGTTACCACTGCCAAATGTAATTGTAAACTTTAGCTGTTAGATTAGAATTACTGCAGCCATTATGTGTAATGCAAAGGTGAAATTGTCATTTTCATCCATTACATGCCTGGGCTTAAATTGGGCCCATTAACAGTTCTCAATGGACTTGTCACTCACTGTTCATGGTTGTACAGAAGTCTGTTGGAATGTGCAATGCCCCCAGTGCTGGAGCTTTGATGTTGGTTGAAACTGTTTGGTTCAGGCATGGGCAGTTGGAGTAGGGGGTTCGGGAGGATCAGAGGCAAGGCGGGGATCATCGGAGATTCAGTTGTTTGTCATTGTTAGGATCGGAGCCTTACCAGATAGCGTAGTTTAGCGTAGAGGACAGATCATCATCATCATCACAAGTCTATTCGCAGTCTATTCTACCGAGAGGCCACTCCATCTTGGTGACGAGAGTGCGATTCTATACTACGTACTGTGATGAACAGTGTAATCCTGTGCAGCACTGGCTTGGAAAACCCAGCCCAGAGAAAACAGTCGGTTTGCAGCAAAACCATATCACCAGAGCTTGTCGACACTGGGTTTGAGTCAACCGACGATGACGATCCATCCAGTCCCGAATGTCTTTACGGTATTGAGCCCAACCTCCTTCAGGACAACCCTTCAGTGCCAGGTGCAACTCTAGCTTGGGTTGTGCAATCCTTCTGAGACAGAGCTCAAACTCCACCGAGACACCTGTGGCTAATACCACTGGCTCCACCAGTACCAGAACCAATGAAAAGCATACCTTCGATGGCAGCAAAAGAAACTTTTATGTTGATGAAAAATTTTTCGGGGGACCTGACAGACAGCACACATCCCTCCACATGGCTGCGAGAACTGCAAAAAACTTTTATGGCTATGGGCATCCCAGAGAAGGACTATGTAGCAAAGATGGGAATGTTCCTGGAGGAGGATTCCATTGCTGAAGAGTGGTACACGAATCTTTCAGCGGCAGACAAGGCCAAGAGTTGGGAAGACTTTTGTCTGCTGTTTCATACAGAGTTTCCATCACAAAAGAAGGAGAAGAAGGAACCGAAGGCATACCTGGAGGAGTTAGAGGAGATGCACATCACACATGAGCAGCTTTTAACTCGGCATGAAGGGACACAGGTACCATACCACCGGTGGTTCACGGATTGCCTCCTCGCACTGGCAAAAGGTGCTACCATTGAGACAACTAAAGAGGCCATTGGGACCACTTGGAAGAACTTGCCGTATGCCTTGAAGAAGTCTGTTAATGACAACCATTCCAACTGGGGGTTGTTTATGAAGGCGATCGAAGGGGTCGATTGGGCAATGTTGAAGGTAGAGGCAGAGTATGCAGTTGATATGCAGAAGACAAAGGAGCGGGTGGAAGCTCTCCAGGCGACTCCGAGAACGAAGTTGGCGAACTCCTTGGCATTGACGAGACTGGGAGAACCCCCATCCCCAACGCCGAACCAGTTCAGGTGAAGTGATATGGGAGGTGGCGAAGGTGGTCATTCAACTGCTCGCCATGACTATCTGGCAGCTTCCGTGAGTAAGGAGGCTCTGCGTGCTGCTATAGCAGCCAAGCCAGTGTATCTGAACACAGAGGAAGGCTGTAAGGACTGGGAAAGGGACGTGAAGGATTGGGCCAAGCGAGTGGGACCCAATGTGCAGTTCTCGGACAAAACTATTATGCCCCTCATGCCTGGGATGACAGTGGTTTGCAGCGGCGAATGCTTCTGTTGTGGGCATTACCAGAGGCATTTCGAGGATTGCACTGGTGATGCAATTCCAAAGCTGGAGGGTAGCTGGAGGGCATTCTGCCAGAGGGTACTGGGAATGGAGAACTGTGCACTGTGGGTTAACATGGTCAGGGACGATGATGATGCATCGTGGGTGTTGGCTGGCATGGGGAGGTCAGGAAAAGATTGAGGGTCGATGATGTTATTGGCATTCGTACGACCCAGACCAAAGCATTACCAAAGGACTCTGTACATTCCAATTTTCTTGATGAATCAAATGTTGTTGATTTGTACACTGTTGTTGGGAGCGTTAGCCATGTCAGCAAGCTGTTCACAATGAACATTACACTAGCCGATGAGGAAGGGGCTGTGGTAGAGTTGGTGGCGATGGTGGACAATGGGGCCATGGTGGCAGCAATGGACTCGAGGGTATATGAGAATCTACAGGGACAGATAGCTGGGTGGTGTCTGTCCACAAGGAAGTTCTGTATGGCGAACGGAAGCCTGGTAGAGGGGTGCGCTCATTGGGAAGGTCGAGTGATGGTGGAGGGTGTGGAGGTCAAAGGCAGCTTTGAGGTCTTTGACAGCAGGGGTAGCTGGCAGTTCCTGTTTGGAAAGCCGCTGCTGGAACAGTTTTGTGCAATCCATGACTACCGGGCTGACACGCTTCAAGTGGAGGATGATCGGAGGAGGACGAGGTTGATCTTCAACACAGGCCTGGGGGCGGAGGTGGATGTTGGTGCATTGGTGGAGGTGAGAAGCGGCGAAAACATACCTTTGAGCTTGCCCGTAGCTGGGAGCGGAGGGCTCAAGGACTGCGTGAATCCAGCCGGTGGGGTTATCGAAGAGGCGCTAACCCCACTGTACAGGGAAGTCTCTACCAATCCATCTGATTTTGGGTCAGTAAAGGATACTAACGAGCATTGTCAGTACCCACTGGTTTACAAGTGGCCTTTGGTAACCATTGAGGAAGTTTTCGAAGACTCCGACAATGGCCAGTGGGACAAAGGTGCGGAGGAGTTGGTCATTGAGTGGGATGACATGGACAAGCGAGCACAGGAGGTGTTACTGGATGAGTTGGAGGCCGAATTTCAAATGTTGAGAAGGGATTGGGCAGCAGCGCTGGAGATGCGATTGTGGAAGGCAGAGAAGCAGTCAAGGT